ACTGTCAAAAAAATAAATAAATAAATAAAAAATAAATAAAAAGTAAAATTTTGGGGCCAGTGTTGTGATGTAGTGGGTTAAGTATCCACTTGTGGCATTGGCATCCCATGTCAAGTCTCAACTGCTCCACTTCCCATCCAGTTCTCTGCTGTAGCCTTTGAAACAATAGAAGATGGCCCAAATGCTTGGGCCCCTGCACCCACATGGGAGACCCAAAGGAAGCTCCTGGCTCCTGGCTTCAGATCGGCCCAGCTCAGGCTATTGTGGCCATCTCAGGAGTGAACCAGTAGATGGAGGACATCTCTCTGTTTCTTCCTCTCTCTCTCTCTCTGTAACTTTGCCTCTCAGGTAAATAAATAACATCTTAAAAAAAATGGTGAATTTTCAGCTCCTCTACTTTTTAAGCACATTATCTTAGTACAGTTCTCTATTTTTTTTTTTTAAAGATTTATTCATTTATTTATTTGAAAGACAGTTACAGAGAGAGAGAGAGAGAGAGAGAGAGAGAGAGGTCTTTCATCTACAATAGCCAGAGCTGGGCCAATCCAAAGCCAGGAGCCAGGAGCTTCTGGGTCTCCCAAACTATGCAGGGATCCAGGGACTTGGGCCATCTTCTTCTGCTTTCCCAGGCCGTAGCAGAGAGCTGGATCGAAAGTGGAGCAGCCGGGACTCGAACTGATGTCCAAATGAGGTGCTGATACATCAGGTGGAAACTTTACCCTCTAAGCCACAGTGTTGGCCCCTAGACCAGTTCTTTTAATTCTTAAAATTAATCCATGAAATGGGATAATTAAGCTTAAATGTTAAAGTAGTTTTGAAGATTGTAGTTCATTCAACAAATGTTTATGAAGCATCTCCAGTATCAAACACATGATTCGTATCTTCAAGGAACTTACTTTTTATTGGAGAGATGTATGTAAATAAATAAGTATAATACATGATATAGATACATTTGTAGAGGTATGGAAAGTAGGGTATTCAAAGAATGGAGTGATCCTAGTTTTCTAGTGGTTGGGGTTAGTGGTTTACAGAAGACTTGATAGTAAAGTTTAGTCTTGAAAAGTGGTAATGGGCATTCCAGGTGGGAAGAACAGTATGAGCAAAGATCCCAAAGCAGGAAATAGTGTAGTATATTTGAGAAACTGTAGTTTGGATTTCAGAAGGGGTAGGTAGAGTTATGAAAAAATCAGATTATAGAGCTAATAAAGTCATATGTGAACTTTATCCTTAGTTGCTGAGAGATAATTGAAAAGTTTTAAACTGGTGAATAATGCTATCAGATTTATGTTTTTTAAAGATCTTTTTTGGTATAAAATGGATAGGCTGGATTCTAAAGAGGTTAGAGGTAGGAAGAAAAATAGTAGAAGTCCTTTGAGACCTGATGAGAAATTAATTGTAATATTAGAAGAGAAAGAAAGGATCAGGGGATATATAAATGGACACATTTTGGAGCACCTGTTAGAGGTTAAAGAATGTAGGATAACGCAAGGGTATAACATTCAAGGAGAGGAAAATTCCAGGCGACTAGACAATTGAGTTTAATTTGGCTTTGCTGATTTTGAGATAACAAACAACCAAATAAAAATGTCTAGTAGCAATTTGTCATTGCAGTCTGTATTTCAGAATTCTGGGTTTAAGCCATACTTGCTTATAGGTTAATTAAAACCACATGAGTAAATTATTTGTTTGGCTTAGCAGACTATAACCAAGATCCATGAGAAAAACATTTAAGGAATTGAAATATTAAATGGTGCCAACAAAGGAAGATAGAGGGAAAGTTAGGAGAAACCAAAAGAAGAGAGACTATCAAAAACCCAGGGTTAGGGGCCAGTGAGTTGGCACAGTAGGCTAAGTCTGGTGCTGGCATCCCATATTTGGGATTGGTTCATGTCCTGGCTATTCCACTTCTGATCCACCTCTCTGCTATGGCCTGGGAAAGAAGTGGAAGTTTGGGCTCCTGCCGTCCATGTTGGAGACCCAGAAGAGGCTCCTGGCTTCAGATCGCCTCTACTCTGGCTGTTGTGGCCATTGGGGAGTGAACCGACGGATGGAAGACTTTTCTCTCTGTCTCTGAAATAATTAAATAAAATCTTAAAAAAAAAAAAAAACAAAAAAACAACCTAGGGTTAGATAGTTATAAAGGAAGAAGAAAAGGAAGTGAGCATAGAAAAGATACAACTGGAGGCCAGTGTTGTGGCATAGCAGGTTAAGCTGCCAGCTGTAGTCCCAGCTGCTCTACTTCTTCTTCTTCTTCTTCTTCTTCTTTTTTTTTTTTTTTTTAAGATTTTTTTTTTATTTGAAAGCCAGAACTGAGCTGATTCTAAGCCAGGAACCAGAAGCTTCTTCTGGGTCTCCCACAGGGGTGCAGTGGCCCAAGCACTTTGGCCATCCTTTGCTGCTCTCCCAGGCCACAGCAGTGAACTGGATCAGAAGTGGAGCAACTGGGACTAGAACCAGCGCCCATATGGGATGCCGGTGCTGCCGGCCTGCTGTAACACAGCGCCAGCCCCTGCTGCTCCACTTCTGACCCAGCTCCCTCTTCATGTGCCTGGGAAAGCAGTGGAGGATGGCCTAAGTCCTTGCACTCCTTCCACCCACGGGAATGAAGAAGCTGCTGGCTTTGGCCTGATCCAGCCCTGGTCATGTGGCCATTTTGGGTGTAAACCAGTGGATGGAAGACTCTATATAACTCTGCCTTACAAATAAATCTTAAAAAAAAAAAAAAAGAAAAAGAAGGAAAAGATACAACTGAATCTGAAAATTAGAAGATCATGGTTTCAAAGGAGCATTTAGATTTGAAAGTCTAATATCACTGAGTTGGGAGAGCAGGCTGGAGAATAAGAAAGGAGGCAGGAGTGTAAATTACAGGTAGAAGAGCTTCAGTGTGAAAGAAACTGGAAAGGTTTTAAGAGCTAGTTTTGTGTTTGCAAGGAGCAAACATGTTTTTAGTTCTCAGGGAAAGGTGTAGTAGTAAGAGACTGAAAATAGAAGGAAGAGAATATCCAATGGGTCAAATTTATGGAGACTTGACAGAGATGGGATCAGAAGGTTAAGTTGAAATAGAAGAGACATCAGATGCAGAAAGATACCATAAAGGCATGTATAGCAATAGATGTTTGTTACTGTTCGTTCTTTGCAAGAGAAGATGGTGTTTACTGAGATACTTCTGGTGGCAGGGACCTGATGAAAATGGTGAAGGGTTGGAAGGGTTGCCCTGGGACCTAAGAAGTTAAGAAACACATACAAAAGCACCCAGTATCCTACTTTGGTTAAGATTAGAAGATTTTGTTTGGAGTATGAACAGTCTTTATAAGCTTATTGTTTCCTTCAGTAGCTTTGGGATTAGGATCTGAGAAGCCTGTAGGTTAAGTTGGCTGAGAGTGATTTCTTGATGGGTAACAGTGGAAGGACAAAGAAGCAAGCATTCTGGAGCTGCTGGTTTGAGAGGAAAAAACCATGAAACCTAACTAGTTGAGGAGGGTGGGGAAGAAGGTATTGAGGGATGTGTTTGGAATAAAAGAGACTGCCCTTTATCAGGCTTGCAGATCAAGTAATAATGGGGGTTATCATAGATAACCGGAAGGTCAAGACGTTGTGGTAAGAGATGAACAGTTTCCTAGGGTTAATGTCAGGATTATGGTCATGGTGGTAACTAGTAAAGAGCAGTCTGAGTGAAAATAGTTGGAGCTGAAGAGGCCAAAAATTTTGAAGATTAATCACTGGCCTTACGTGTAATAACTAGACCAAATACTCTTATAAATAAGTGGTTAACTAGTAGCTTGGGTGTTAAACTTCTCTTTGAGAAGATCCTGGCAGTAGGTGTTAGATGACAGCAAGGATCAGTGAAGAATTAAGTAGTGACGTGACATCAGTCTTAAAAGAACAGACACTTTTTGCACATTTGTGGAAAACCAGTGATGATCTGATAACAGTGGTAGTAATAAATGAGTTCTGATTCAGTATGGGAGAATAAAGAATGTTGAGGGGAGGGTATCAGGAAAAGATCAGAAGAGATTAAAGCAGTAAGGGAGAAGGACTATTTTGTAAGGAAGATGAGATTATTGGAGGTTGATTTTGTTACGTTTGTTACTTAAAATGACATTTGGAGTATTCCAGTAAGAAATAACCACCTGTGGTTGAAAATTATTATCTCCCCCAGTGACTAAATGCTTAGTGTTTGAGTTTTAAGGATTGGGTGCTATTTGGGGATAATGAACATTTATAAAATGCTTAGTACATAGTATGCACTTAATAAATGATACTTGCTTTAATGAAAAGAAGTTCTAAATTGTTGTTTGACTGTAAATTGGTGTTTCCAAGCTGTTTGAATGCTTAATTTTGTTCACAGATAGTATTTTAGAATGTCATGGTCTTTATTCCTCATTGAAATGTCTAGAAAAACTCACTAAATATTGGTATCCTCAGCTTTGTGTCGCTCCCCCTCTTCGTGGAGGAACGACACAGGACCCTGCGCTGTTCTTTCGTCTGCTCGGCCCTCCCCGGGTTGGCTACTGTCCCTTCCACCTCCGTGGAAGGGCGGTTCCCCCTGGCCACTTTCCCCACTTCCGCAGGGGAGTGGCACACCGCCGGCCGGCTCTCTCGGGGGCTGCACAGGTGTTCCCTCAGATGTTCCCCTTAGATGTTCCCGGTGCATGCCGTCTCTCTCCTCCTTTATAGTCCTCCTCTGCCAATCCCAACTCGGCTGCCCACACGCCGAGTACGCTGCTCTCCTCCAATCAGGAGCAAGTCCTACAGTTTATTGGTTGAACTGGAGGCAGCTGTGCAGAAGCTGTTTTCTCCTCTCCCAGCGCCATATTGTGGGAGAGCAGATGCATAGAATAAGTCTTAATTCCAGTAACTTAGTCTAGTCCGAATTGCTCCCCACAGCTTTGTTCTGTATAAATGTTCAGTCTATTTAAATCATACAGTGATACTGATTTTGACTTTTCTAAATATCTGAGTTGCAAAATGATAGTGAATACACTGAATCATGATTTCAGGAACATCAGGATCAGATTCTCCAGGACAGGCTGTGGAAGCGGAAGAGATAGTAAAACAACTTGACATGGAACAGGTGGATGAGATCACTACCAGTACTGCTACATCAACTAATGGAGCAACTTATTCAAATCAAGCAGTTCAAGTGAGGCCGTCGATAAATAATGGTTTAGAAGAAGCAGAAGAAACTGTTCATCGTGATATTCCACCCCTTACAGGTGAAGAAAATTCCTTTTCTTATGCATCTTCATGAGTAGTTTATAAAAATATAGTGTTACATTTATCCTTAAATGAGTAGATTAAATGTGTAAATTTATCTTTCTTGAAGTTTAAAATTAGTAACATACTTAGTCCCCCCAAATTTCCTTAAGTGTTACTCATTTCACATTTTAATTATTTCCACCAATCTTACTGTCAGGAAAAGTTGAAAACAGCTAGTGGGGCCAGTGCTGTGGTGTAGTGGGCTAAGCCTCTGCCTGAGGCGCTGACATCCGATATGGATGCCAGTTTGTGTCCCCGTTGCTTCTCTTCCAATCCAGCTCTCTGCTGTGGCCTGGGAAAGCAGTGGAGGATGGCCTAAGAGCTTGGGTCCCTGCACCCACATGGGAGACCCTGAAGAAGCTTCTGGCTTCTGATCGGAGCTCTAGCCATTTGGGGAATGAACCAGCAGATGGAAGACTTTTTTTTCCTCTTTGATTCACCCTGTTTGTAACTCTACGTCTCAAATAAAGAAATAAAATCTTAAAAAAAAAAAAAAAAAAAACTAGCAAAATATTATATACTCATTTATGACCATACTTACACTTGTACCAGTCTAAGACTCTTAGGTCTGAGGTTCCTACCTAGAAGTAGTCTCAATACCTTCAGATTTGTTTTTGTTCATAAATGATTCCTCCAAGTCTCCACAAGAGGCTTCTGTTCTTGGGTCTTTCCCTATATCCCAACTTGGCAGCTTAACTCTGGATTCTTAAAAAGGTATACTGTAATTGTTTTCCTGAGCAATTGTCATTGAAATGTGGAAACACATGAGATCAGAATTAATTGCCTTTGAGGGCTGTGGTAGTTAAACATATAATATAAGTGTTCTATAATTCCTTTTTTGTTTATTAACAACATGGTCAAGAATAATACAAGTAACATAGCTGTAACTTCAAGGAAGGAACTGCTGGAGGAAAGCATTACTAGCATTTCAAAAATTTTCTACAATTCTTAGACACAGAAATAAAACAGGATAACCATCTTCTCTGAGATAAATTTTATCTTAGATTTATGTTTTATTACTTTTGATATCAAATATTTGAGAGAACCTGTAAGTACATATCAGTTAAGCAATATGAGGCATTTTTAGCCAGTACATGGAGAATGCAAATTATGAAAAAATTTCATGCAATTAAATATTTTTTTTGCACTAAAAAAACTATTGGGGTAATGTTTTGGCACAGGGGTTTAAAAGCCACCACTTGGTTTACTTGTATCCTGTATTTAAGTGCTGGTTCGAGGCTTCAGTATTCCATTTCTGATCCAGCTTCCTGCTAATAGATCCTGGGAAGCAGCAGATTATGGCTCAAGTGCTCAGTCCCCTGCCACCAACATAGGAGACCTAGATGGAGTACTTGGCTCCTGACTTCGGCCTGGCCCAGCCCTGGGTGTTACAGGCATCTAAGGAATGAAACAGCTGATGGATAATGGAGATCAATTTTCTTTGTCTCTCCCTCTCTCTCTCCCTCTTTCTCTCTCTCCCCCACTTCCACCTCCCCCTCCCCTTCTTCCCCCTTTCCCTTTTTATTTCCTCCCCACCTCCTGCCCTTCAAGCAGATTAAATATAAATAAGTAAATGTTTTTAAAAATGTATTTATTTGCGAGATAGTGAAAGAAAGTGAGTGCTACCACCTGGTGGTTCAATCCCTAATTGTCCACAGTGGCTAGGACTGGACTGGGGTGAAACCTGCAGCCAGGGACTCCGTCCAGATCTCCCATTGTCAGAGGCAGGAACCCTAATTACTTGAGCCATCACTACTGCTTCCTAGGGCCTGCACTGATAGAAACCCGGAGTCAGGAGCTAGAACTGGAAACAGAACTCACACCATGTGAAATTTCGTTGTCCCAAGCAGCATCCTTTTTTTTAAGATCCTACATTTTTTGAAAAATAATTTTAAAATTTATTTGAAAGGCATAGAGAGACAGAGATCTTCTTTCTGCTGGTTCACTCCCCTAAATTACCACAACAGCTGGGGCTAGGTCACATCCTGGAATACAATATCATGTGGGTGACATAGACCCAAGTACTTGAGCCATCACCTGCTGTCTCCTAGGTTGCACATTAACAGGAGGCTTGAATTGGAAGTGGAGCTGGGACTCAAATCCACATACTCTGATAAAGGATGTGGATGTCCTAAGCAGTGTCTTAACTGCTGTGCCAAATGCCTACCATCAACCAGTGTCTCAATTGCTAGACTAAATGTCTGCCCTAAACTTATCTTTTTTTTTTTTTTTTTTTTTTGACAGGCAGAGTTAGACAGAGAGAGACAGACAGAAAGGTCTTCCTTCTGTTGGTTCACCTCCCAAATGGCCGCTACGGTTGGTGCACTGCGCCGATCTGAAGCCAGGAGCCAGGTGCTTCCTCCTGGTCTCCCATGCGGGTGCAGGGAGCAACCGGGACAGAATTTGGCACCCCAACCGGGACTATAACCCGGGGTGCCGGTGCCGCAGGAGGAAGAGTAGCCACGTGAGCTGCAGCGTGGACCACTTATCTTTTAATTCCCTTTTCCATCAACTTTTTGAGATACCCTCTTGTAGTGTGGTATAAGAAAGTAGAATAATGTAGTTCTCTCGTAACGAGGAAATTGAAAAATAAATTATAAAAACATCAGAAAACAGTTAAATATGGATATAGTAATGAAACATTGTATAACCCAATAATTCTAATATGAAGAATAAAGCAGAAAAATAAGGGAAAAATGACTTGAAATCCTTCAGGTAAAAATTTAACATAATTCCAAACTAAATTCCAAACTAAAGAATAATGTTGAATCTAACAAGCAGATCAACAGGATTATCAACAGATTGTTCATTATTTCTTAAGTGTTTTTTTCAAATTAGCCTACCTTTGACCTATCATTGTTTCTGATTACTTTGCCCAGTATTATAAGGCTGAAATACAGACTAAAGTCCATAGCACCTGGTCTTATGTTCATTCTGTATTTTTATCTGCTGTATGAGTCTTGTATTTATTTTTTTTGACAACTGTGATAATTAAAAGGAATTTTTATAACCTTAGTGGTTTCTAGAGGTGAAAATTAAGATTTACTACAGTTGTCTGATTAATTTATTCCCTTATTATTTATGAGCACCTATTTTTTTGTTATGGGAATTGTTGATAGAGATGAATAAGATATGCTCTTTTATACTAAAGTATTCATGATTTAATTGAAGACTGAAGTGTACAGAAAAATTACTTTGCAGAGTGAGTGGTGAGTGCTATTATAAATAAATGAGCAAAATGACATGGTGGCATTTTGCAGTTACCTCTGGGTTGGTCATGAGAAGATTGATAGAGAGGACATTTATACCTAACTTAAAATAGGAGGAACAAAAGTCCTACTTTTCCTTACTTTTAGCCTAGCCAAAGAGAAAAAGAAGGTAAGAGGCTGGTTCCACCATTTACTTAGCTGTATGACTGGAAAACTTCTTTTAACTCTTGCTGGAAGTTTGAAACTAGTTTATTAAGCTTTAAAATAGTAATGATAGAGTATTTTGAAATTCAAATGAGATGATACTTGAGAAATGTAGCTTGTAGACATTCAAATATTCTTTATTTTCTCTGAGGTTGATAGGAATTTGGAACAGTAAAGTGGTTGGAAGATATAGTTCCCATTATTCCGTTGTTCTAATGAACCACTGCAGGCATAAAGTTTTCACAGATAAACAAAAATTCTGCTTTACATCTAGTAACTTTCATTAAACATATCCACCTCTTGATTGTCTCAGAAGGTGTTAATACATGATAATTGCAATAAAGGTTAGGTTTTGTCCTAAAAGACTATTTAAAAAATTTTTTTTCTATAGACTATTAATCCACCAACATTCACTTTCTGTAGGAAGATTACAGCTATTTTTATTGGGTACCACCTTAAACTTCTATCTCTTCTGTGTTTGCCCTCTGATACAATATGCTGTAAATATTGTCTTAGAATATTTCCAACATAATTCTTAAAGCTCATTCTTAGCTCAGAGAATGAACTATGTGGCATAGAAGATAGAACTGCTTCTTGATTATTTTTAAGTTGTTTGTAAGTTAGGAGTAAAATAATGGGTCTTATAAACAGCATATAAAGCAGTATTTCTAAACTTTTTAAGGTCATTAGATTGCCTTGAGATGCCTGGAAAAATGTTCATACAATAATTTTTCATATCTTCATGGACTGAATGATTGTTCAAGGATCTCAGGTTTAAAAACTACATTTGCATCTATTGTCAGCATGTGAGGTACTTTGTAAAGTATTACTGCTATAAGAGCACCACTGAATTTTAATGATTATGACATGTAAACACCATCTAATTAGAACTGAATTTTTGTGGAGTGTATTTTTCTAGTAATAGTGATAAATTTGAGCTGAAAGGGATCTTAATTCTACCAGCCATGATGTAGTTTGCCATTTTGTTTGTAATGGTATTATTTTCCCTTTGGATCTAGAGTTAGATCTGAATGTTAACAAATATGCCATGAAATACTATATACAAATTATTTCTATCTTTAACCTAGAATACACAGGACTTCAAGGAGATTTTATGTATACTTCATAGGTAACATGAAGTCAGTAAAAATAACATTTTGTCTTTCACTTTATTAAATAGCACCAGTAACTCCAGAGAGTGGTTATTCATCAGCTCATGCAGAGGCCACCTATGAAGAAGACTGGGAAGTATTTGACCCGTGAGTTTATTTTCTTTGTTTACTTTTTGGAGCATAATGAAAGAAAATATATGGCTAAATGATATGTAGTCCAGTCCCTGATTTATATCGGTTCATCTTAAGATTTTTCAACTTTATGATAGATATATAAGAGATACACATTCACTAGAAATTGTGCTTTGAGTTTGGTATTATTTATTTTAAAGATTTATTTATTTGAAAGGCAGAGTTAGAGGGAGAGATGAGACTTTCCATCAGCTGATTCACTCCTCAAATGGCCACAATGACCAAATCTGGGCCAGACTGAAGTCAGGAGCCTGGAACTTCATCTGGGTCTCCCATGTAGGTAGCAGTGGCCCAAGGACTTGGGCTGTCTTCCACTGTGTTCCCATTCACATTAACAAGGAACTAGATTGAAAGTGTAGCAGCCAAGACCTGAACTGGTGCTCATACGGATTCTGGCATTTCAGGCCATGGTTTAACTAACTCACTCTGCCATAAGACCAGTCCTAAGTACAATACTTTCTTACAATGTTAGGCAAGCACAGTGAGCCACTATTGCCAGTGAACCATGTGATCATGAGAATAAACAACTGATACTCTATAGCATACTACGTTGCTATGGTGTTTGATTAAGTTAGGTAAATTGAATGCATTTTCGATTAAAGATGTTTTCAGCTTAGCAGTGAATTAATTGGACATAATCCTGTTGTGAGGAGCATTGTATTGTAAAGAGCATTTTACCCATAGATACTCTTTTTAACAAGTAGCAGGAATGCTGATTTATATTTTCACTTTTATTTATGTGTTTTAAAAGCTTAGGGTAAAGTGTGCTTTATTAAAGATTTTTAAATGGATGAATTTAGGTATTTTTTAAAGTAAAAATGTTGACATTTTCTTAAAATGTAATTTACAGTTATTATTTCATCAAACATGTTCCACCACTGACAGAAGAACAGCTTAATAGGAAACCTGCTCTTCCATTGAAAACAAGAAGCACACCAGAATTCTCCCTAGTTTTAGACCTGGTAAGTATATTAATCTGTAGAGGTGTAGAGAATAAAGGAATTCAAATCATGTTTAGAATAATAGTCTTCAATACCTAAAAGACTACAAATAAATGAGTAGCAATCACATTTTCCATAGGTATGTCCTAGGTGTCCTGAAATGTTTTTATTCAAGCATAGTCTAATGCTAGGGTCCTCAGTGTCAGGTACCCTTTGAAAATAAATTAAGACTTTTATTTTTATATTTAAATGAGTTCTCTCACCCACACACCTAAGACCTTTGTGATTTGTTTCTTTCCCAAGAAATTCTAGTTTCATTGTATTAGAATCATGCCTGGATTTTAAATTTTCTCCCACCTCACCTCCCACCAAATATGATTTAGGTCTCAGTGAGTTAAACCATATGCAAGACCATACTCCTTTCCTTATTTTTATTTTTGCATATTACTTAACACCAGTTAACTTCTTACTAACCATCCCAAATGCATGATTTTAAACACTGGGTAATAAAGCCTTAAATATATTCTCCTGAGGAAAGAGTATTTAGTGGTTAAGATGTCATTTAGGATGCCTACGTCTCATCTAAGTACATTGGTTTAATACCTGGCTGTGGCTGCTAATTCCAGTTTTCTGTTAATGTGAGCCCTGGGAGGCAACAGTGATGATTGAAGTAGATGGGTTCTTGCCATCCATGTGGGAGATCTGCATTCATTTCCTGGCTGCTGGCTCTGACCTTCTATCCCCATAGCCACTGAAGGCATTTGGGGAGTAAACCAACAGATAGAAGCTCCCTCTGTGTCTCTCTGCCTCTCAAATAAGTAAATAAATAAATAAATAAATATGCTATTTTGATGCGATTAAAATTTTTTTTTCTTTTTTTGGGGGCGGGGGGGATATTTATTTTTATTTATTTGAAAGTCAGAGTTACACACACAGAGAAAGATCTTTCATCTGCTGGTTCACTCTACACATGGCTGCAATGGCCAGGTGGAAGCCAGGAGCCTGGAGCTTCTGAGTTTCATATATGGATGCAGGGGCCCAAGCACTTGGGCCATCTTCTGCTCCTTTCCGAGGTGCCTTAGCAGGGAGCTAGATCAGAAGTGGAGCAGTCGGGTCTCTAACTGGTGCCCATATGGGATTACTGGCATCCAGGAGGTAGCTTAATCTCTGATGCCACAACATCAGCCAGGGTTTAAAAATTTTTATTTTAGGGTGTCAGGAAGGCTTGGAAAAATTAGTATCTTCTAATCTTCTGTGTCTTGCTGATAACCATATTTAATATATAATTATCACATTTAAAATCTGCACATAGTTTCACGTTACTAGCAAAAGACGTATCATACTGGAGCATGGTTCTTCTATTTAACTTTTTTTTTTTAACTAGTACCCTGTATTTGGACATGTGGTTTAGTTCTCAGAAAATTTATCTCAAGGAATAAGCCTGTTCTTTTAAATTTTTGATTAGCATGTATAGTTACAATTTGAGAGTTAGGTAACTTAGCCTTTGCCTAGTCAGTTTTAGGGAAGGATCCAGAAGTCTGAAAATATTGGGTAAGTAAAAAGGAAAAAAAAATTCAGAATTGATTATGAATGGTTTATAGATTTATGTGTGCCAGATAGTAGAAAAAATGAAAAGTAGATTTTGCTGTTAAAACTTGATGTGGTCCTGGTATCAAGTTTGGCCCTACCTTTGAATCCAGTGTACTAGGTAGAGAAGGAAAGATAAGAATTAACTGAGCATACACAATAATACAGAAATAGATGAAGAATTATCAGGTTTAAATAGGCTATAGTTGAAATAGTAAAATTAGTTATGATTCATTTGTCAGAAAAAATATCTTTTCTTAAAGAGATTACCTTGAAATGTGTAGTCTGATAAAGCTCTTAAAAGAAAATGAGGCCTGTCTGGAGTATATTTTGCTCTTTGCTTCACCAAATTTAACTTTAGGTTAAAAGGAACATTCCAGCTAATAAGACGCAGCTCACTAGGCTAATCCTCCGCTTGCAGTGCCGGCACCCTGGGTGCCTGGTTGGGGTGCCAGATTATGTTCCGGTTGCTCCTCTTCCAGTCCAGCTCTCTGCTGTGGCCCAGGAAGGTGGTGGAGGATGGCCCAAGTGCTTGGACTCCTGCACCCGCAGGGGAGACCAGGAGGAAGCACCTGGCTCCTGGCTTCGGATTGGCGCAGCCAGCTGCAGCGGCCATTTGGGGGGTAAGCCAATGGAAGGAAGACCTTTCTCTCTGTCTCTCTCTCTCACTAACTCTGCCTGTCAAAAAAAAATAGGATATGGAATCATAAGATATGAACACTTGGTGTTACATTTTTTTTTTTTTAAGATTTATTTTATTTTTTTGAAAGAGTTACAGAGAGAGAGGTCTTCAGTCCTTTGGTTCACTCCCCAAATAGCCACAATGGCCAGAGCTGGGCAAGCCTGGAGCCAGGAACTTCTTCCAAGTCTCCCACATCCCAGCCATCCTCCACTGCTTTCCCATGCACCTTAGCAGGGAGTTGGATCGGAAATGGAGCAGCTGGGACTTGAACTGGTGCCCATAAGGGGATGCCGGTGCATCAGGCTGGGGCTTTAACCCACTGTACCACAGTGCCTTGGTGTTACATTTTAATTGGACTTAAATGCATTGAAGATTTTTGGAATAGTTATTAGCAGCTTTAGAAAATAAATGCTGTCACATAATACCAATGAGAGCCCTGCTTTATAAGGCATTCAGGATTTGGGAAATAGAAATATTTGTACCTATCTTGGATTGTATCATCCTCTCTTGATAGTAAGAAAATAGGATTGGTAATCAAAGATGGCAAGTTTTCATCAGCTGCTGTTTAGTCAAACAGTATGATGAAACATAATTATGAAATACTGAAACATCTGTTCTGAAAGACACTTTATAAAACGTTTGAGGATAAGGAGTTATATGAATAGAATACATTTTTATTAATTTTACCTTTTTTTTAAAGGTTATATATTTGAGAGAGTTACAGAGAGAGAGAGAGAGAGAGAGAGATCTTCTATCTACTGGTTCACTCCTCAGATGGCCTCCACGGCCGGTGCTGCGCCGATCCGAAGCCAGGAGCCAGGTGCTTCCTCCTGGTCTCCCATATGAGTGCAGGGGCCCAAGCACTTGGGCCATCCTCCACTGCCTTCCCAGGCCATAGCAGAGAGCTGCATTGGAAGAGGAGAAACGGGGACAGAATCCGGTGCCCCAACCGGGACTAGAACCCGGCGCCCATATGGCATGCTGGCGCCACAGGCAGAGGATTAACCTAGTGCGCCACAGTGCCAGTCCCCCAGAAACATTTTTTAATAAAAAATAGATACTGAACTTGAATTTACTAATTGTGAACAAAAACATAAAAGCATGCATGTTGTTTTAGCAGACTGTTGGCAATTGCAGAACTCCAAGAACTGATTGTCAAACTGGAGCAGTCATCAGAATCACCTTAAGAGCTTATTAAAACATAGATTGCTGAAATGTGCTCTGCCCTCAGAGTTTGTGAATCATCTGAATTGGAGCTTTTGCTTTAATTGGCATTTACATTTCTAACTCGTTTCCAGATGATGCTTATTCTGCTTCCTGGTCTAGGAACTGCACCTGAAAAGTATTGGCTTTAGAAAATCCTATCCCAAATTGCTATGCCACATATGAATGTATTATAAATGTAAAATTCCTCAAATGAATGGTTGTTTTAATAAATATTTATAGTTATGATTATGTAAAATTATCAATTGGAGTTTCTTATGCATTGTTTCACTTAATATTTTTTATTTTAAGGATGAAACACTAGTGCACTGTAGTCTAAATGAGTTAGAAGATGCAGCACTTACTTTTCCAGTTCTTTTCCAAGATGTCATTTACCAGGTAACTAAAACAATTTAAACTTGACTTTTGGCCTATTGGGTAACATTCTGAATCAAGAAATCTTTGTAATTTTTTATGTGACATTAAATATTGGTTTTGTGTAGGCTTCTTGATGGATTTCATCAGTATTTTAAGGATCTGTTAACGCAAGGTAGCATCATGCTAGCTAATTACATAAGACATTTTTACCAAAGAAATGCTAACTTTTCTCACCCCATGATCACTGCTAGTTTTATTATCTGTTTGCCAGCAGGTGGAGGCAGAAGCACTGACATAGATCCTCAAGAGGAACTTGCCAGGTTAATAACACTTGGTGTTTAAAAAAAAAATCCAATTAATACAAAAGAAAAACTCATTCCTTGTTGGTCATTTTTATTTCCTGTAGTAGTATTATGGTCTGTAACGGTTCAGCTTGGTAGACCTACCTTTATATTAATCATAGAATTCCAGGTCATTCTTCTAGTTATTGATATAAGAATTATATAATGGGCATTTCTCCCTCATCTGTGCTCATGGACAGGTAACAGTGCAAATTACAAATATCATTCAAGATTTCACTGTGGATTATGTGTGTTGGGCCTTAGTTTTTATTTTATGTTTATGATCTTCCTATTATAAGATTGAATTACTTAATATGAGTGAGTGTACTTTGAAAACTACAAAATACCTTTCGGTGTTGGTGGTTATGTTATGTAATTAGCATCACTTTCATACAAAGCCGTTGTTGAAGGATTGGGGAAGGTTCAAAAGTTTGTTGTCTATTAAGAGAAGGTCCACCCAAGGATTAACTAACTAAAGCCACAGAGTATTTACCATGTGGATAATAAAAAGATGCTTATGGTCGTTTATATGCTATTGATAGACAGAATGTGATTATAATTTTCTTGGCATATGATAGTTGCTATCCTCACAGGGATCAGAATTTCAGAGTTAGAAGTCTGTGGTATAGGGATACTTTATCTAGTGATGAGTCTTAAGAGGATTTATTTTAGCAATCACTGTCAATTCTAGTTTAACTTAGATATGGCAGCATGAATATTGTATTCACCTTCCTTTTCATGTAAACTTATTTTAGTTCTGATACATAATCAGAGCATGAGCCAAAGAAATTCCTAAAAGTTTTAAAGATATTTTTATTTCTTTTTTACTGGTTATTGTTTGGTTTAAGACAAATCATTTTTTGCCAAATAGGCTGCTCTTGTTAGTTCACTTATAGGACAGGAGTCTTGTGGCAAATAAATAGTATAGCTATTTCTTAGTTTTCTCTTTTCAGCTCAATAACCTTAGGTTTTGGGTTTTTTTTTTTCTCTTCAATTTTGGTTATTTTGCAAGATTGCACTTGAAAAAGTGGTGTTAAGGCTTTGAATTTGGAAAGGAAAGTTGTTTTTGAAAAATACAGGTCAAGATTTTGAGGTGACTTCTCTTCTAGAATTGCTACAGGTGGTTTTTGGTCTGTTTATGTAATTTTTTAATAGTGGAAAAAGAAACTTGGAAAGATAAATTTGGTTCTTTACCCCTTCATGAGTATTTCTTTTTAGTATGATGACAAACATCAGGTTTTTTTCCCTTATTGCTTCCACCATTTCTGCTTTAACTCTCTTCTTTATAAAATTCTTAATATTTCATGTGGATCTAGATAGTTGTCTCGTTTTCAATAAACAGTTTCTAGCAGTGCATATAACTAATAGTTACAGAAGCTGTACTTGCATGTGTACTGCATCTACCTCTGTAGATTTCAGAGATCTTTTTCTTCTGTATTTTGAGATACACCTTCTGACGCTAAAAAATAAATGGTCTTCCCTAAACAGGAGAAAGATGTTTGAATCTTGCAAACTATAGAGATTACTAAATTTTATTTCGATTCAGTTACTACATTATGGACAGAGTTTAGTTCCCCTTCAAAGTAAAGTTTTGAGGATGCCCAGAGTTAATGTTGGGTACCTTACCTTGAGATTTCTGGTTTTGGCATATCATTCTGTCTGCTTTTTAAAAATAACTGAAGAAATCTTTGGGTTAGGGTTCCCCTAGTTTTCAGACCAGCAAGCTCCCTTTAAACAGGGAATGATGTCTTTTAAACTTTCAGTGGTGTTGTCTCCATCTACTGGCAAAGAAGAAATATACACAAGGGTCTGAGATGATCTAAGAGATTTTGGAGAAACCACATTATTAGGTAAGATGTAACTTACATATTTAACCACTATACTATAATGTGGCACACTTAAAGGTAGACCTGTAAAATACTGTATATACTCTTAAAAATAATTTAGAGGTGAAATTCACATGGTATAAAATTAACCATTTTTAAGTGAACAGTTCCATAGCATTTATCGGTATACTCTTGAGTATGTCAGTTCCATAATATAGACTCTGAATGTTAAGGTAGGATTAACTTCTTCATCTAAATCAAAGCCAGATAAAGTATCTTCTTGGGATTTATTTTGCTCTTTTTTTCTTTTTGTGGTAAGTTTCTTATGGTTCACATATCTAATTTTAATCCTGCATTTTATTTCTCTTTCGTTTCAAAACAATTTACAGTATAAGTTTTTTTTTTTTATTACACATGTTTCAGTAATTATCTATACCAGGGTTGGCAGACTTTTTTTTTGTAAAGGTCCAGTTGTAAATATTTTAGGTTTTGTGGTCCCCATTGCAACTACTTTTTCTGCCACTGCAGCATGAAAGAAGCCACAGACAGTACATAAATGAAAAGGCATGGCTGTGTCCTAGCAAAACTGTATTTATTTACAAAAGTAAGTGGTGGGCCGAGTTTGGTCAATAGGCCATGGTTTGTTGACTCCTGGTCTATTAATTATGAGAGTATATACAGTAAATTTACATATTCAGATTCTAAGGGGAAGTAAGCAAATGTTCATCAGAATTTTTATTTATATATAGACTATTTAAATTAGATCCACAGTAACTTTTTGTGGACTTCTCTTGGTTTTGTGTGTGTGTGTGGTTTTTTTTTTTTTGTAATTTTTCTCCCCAGATCAAAATTTGATGGAAATCTGAGGTGGCCACTACTCATTTAAAAATTGCCTGACTTCATGATACATATTCTTCTCTTGATCGATAGAGATAAACTGGATTTATTTATCCTAATGAAATTCTTAGAATTTACAATCAGATAGATTATTCAAGTAAAAATTTAGTGCCTTGAGTGTATTGAAATTTCTTTTTGTTAGGGGATTAGAAAAACCTGAAAGTATAGAGTAGACAGATTATATTTTGCCTGTATAGAGAATAGATTATTTAAGAAAACTTTTTCAAGTGAGGGGATGGCACTCACAGTCTATAGATTTTTGTTTGAATTCATCTATTTTTTTTCTTAAATTGATATTTTTTTCTATGAATTGTTTTATAATTAGTTATTGGGGAACCATTCATAAAATGGTACAGATGTATTTGATATCTGGAAAAGCAAGTGCATGATCACTTCCAGTGCACATATTTAATCTTTATATTTATCTTATATTGACACATTGTCAGGAAATCCATCTCGTGGTGTTACTCGGTTAAGAGGTCTCCACTGTATTTAGTTTCTGTTCCTGCAGATCCACCAATTCAAGACTCTAGGTCATCTCACTCCCTCTTCCATCCAGAAGATGACTTCTATCCACAAGCAGGACTGAATCAAAAGACATTTTTCAATTAGCTCTTGAGCTGAACCACCTCCTCAATGACCTTCCTCTGTCTCCATCAAGAACTGGAGCTCAGTTTTTTGAAGATGTAATAGAGCTACTCAGCCCAAACGTGGCTGATTGAAGACAAAAAGAAGATACCTCATATGTTTCACCACAGTGCAGCCAAACGTAACTGTGTTGTCCAACTCCTCATTCTGTAAAGTATGGTAGGGGCATCTGATTTTTGACTCTGTTCACCAATAAGATTTTAGCCAGTCAGTGACTTTCTGACAATCAGTAAAATCCACCAACTTTGGGTCAGCTGTCCAGAAATCAGGTTGTGATGTGGTAAGCACTCTAGGAGAGAAAAAGCATCCTACAGGGAGCTGCTTCTAAAGGATGCCTTGTTTACTTGTTTACTAGTGTAGGTTGCTTCTGTGGGAAAAGTTGGGAGGCAGGGAGCGGTGGGTGGGGAACCATGGTTAGCAAAAACCCTTCTTCTTTCTCTTTTAGTTTGTTTTTTGGGAAATCTTACAGTTTAGACTAATTTTCATACCATAGAACAAAGGAATTAGAGGGTTAGTGGCTTCTGTTTCCACTGTTCTGTCCTAGAAGAGTCAGCTTTAACTTGGTGTCATGAAGGAAAAAAATCATTTAAATGAATTTTGTTGTAAATACCTAATTTAGTTTTCTGTTTTCTCAAATTCTAACTTAAGTTGATTCTTAAACCTGGAAGTGATTTATTACTCAGTTTCAAAGCATACATTTTTGTGCAAAAATAGTTAAGTGTATTTGTGCACATTTGGGGTTTGTGGACACAATTTAGAATTGAGGATAAAAGTAATATTTACCTAATAGGAAATAATATTTTGCTGATTGTAGATTAATATTAAAAAAATAGATTAATTTTCCTTAGTATAGTAAGTCTTTGGTACTAATTTTTTCATCATAAGTATTCATTATTAATTTTTTGGTCTAAAAATATAAAACTTATAGTTCTTTACTGCTCAAAAAAGGAAAATGTATTCAATGGGGAATTCTTTGTTTAAAATGTGTTTTTTTTTTAATTAGGAGAAGTTCAATAGAAAAGTAGACTGCATAGGATGTTCTTGTTTAACAGCTGAAAATATTCTGTGCATTCAAGAGTTGACCCTTGTTTACTCAGCATATCAAATTAGAGGTTTCATTCTCTTTGAAGTATATAGTTAGATTTTAAAGGCAACAGTTTTTTAAAAATTAAGTTCATGGAAAATGGAATGAAAATACAAGTTTATTTTTAGTGCAGAATGTTTTGTAATCTGTGCATAGGTTTCCATAATATACATTTCCATGAACTTTTTGAAGACTGCCCAATATGCATGGGCTTCACAATTTTTA